GCAACTGCCTAGTATTGCCTAACGGTCAATCCCCCCCCCGGCTTTAGTTTAGCTCTGTAGGAGTTATTACCTTTCTTGTCTTTCATGTTTTGTTTTTAACTTTTTTTCTTCCATTTTTTCATTTTCAGACAAAAATCAATCTTCCGAGTGTGACTTCCTCCCTCAGTCTCTTCAACGATGAGCAACGTGAGCGGCTGGAGGTGGAAGCTCTGGCCAAAAAGTTTGAAAATAAATATGTGAGTTTTTGACATGATTGATTTATTAGGAATGGAACCGATTAGTTCATAAGAATAAGAGGCGTTTTTTGTGTCGTCAGCCTCTAATCGGTGATTGGTTTATTTAAATGCATTTAAAAACTGCATGCACTTTAATAATCCTTTACAGTCAAGTGGGCTATACACTTACTTGACGTATAAATAAAGGTTCTGTTGGATCACAAAAGAAGCCTTTTAAGGTTATTATGTTTGTTTTGGCTGAACTCGTTAAATACAGAGATTTTTGAAAACATTTTTTTTAAACATTATAAGAAAAGCTGTCTGTGTTTTCAAAAGTTTGAATAATTTTTTCAATTTGTAACTTTTAGAAAAAAAAAATCACTGTTTTGAATCGTCGCTGAAGTTGTTGCTTAGCAACAGATGGTTGGATGCAATGACTTCAGTATGTAAAGCAATTTATGCTTAATGCTTTATAATAAAATTACTGCTATTGTTTTGTATTACTTTTTATTTATATATGTATGCGTATTGGTGCTGCAACTAACGATTATTTTGCAAATTGATTATTTTTCCGATTTATCTATTAATAATCTGATAGCCAAAGATACTTTAAGAAGACTTTTTATGAAATTAAACCAGGTGAAACTAAAACTTTTCCACTTATAAATTTCCGGATAGGGAATATTGACAGATTATATATTTTTTTCAATCTTAATTGCTAAATGTTTAGATATTTTTTTACAATGTTGGTATAATTACTGCTCTAAGTGGGTCACCGGCAGCTAAAGACACATTTTATTCTCCATACTCCAGTTAATGATTAGTCAATTACTAAATTAGTTGATTATCTATATATAACTTTTTCCTAGACTGTTGACAGCAAAGGCACAATTACAGGGTTTCTGTGGGTCATTAAAATCATTAAAAGTCATTAAATTATTATTTTGTTTTTAATTAAGGCCTTAATTGGCATCAAAATTCATTAAATGTGATTATTGTGGCATTTAAAATGTTTTTAGAGAAAAAACACCTTTATAAAAACAATTTCGTCAGATAAATTATATCACAATATATTTATGCGGAGCTGCTTCTGGTTTATCGTAAACCCGTTTGTTCGGAAAAGAAGCTTGAGGCAGAGAAAAAGCTCGGGTATGGGGAAAATGCAAATTTCAACACAAGTGGCTGGAAAACAAGGAATTTATATATATATAAATATATTAAAAAGCATTAAATTAGAGTTAGTCATGTATAAACCCTAAATTATCATGGCTTAATAACCCTAAGTTATCCAGGGCTTACTATAATTATACCCTTTAAAATAATTAAAATCAGATCTATAATAAAACAGGATGAAAAAATGGAATCAGCTGTGAGGAAAAATACTTTCTTTTTAGTAGAAATAGAAAGCGGTATACTTTCTGATACATTTTTCTGTTCCATGTTACATTTCTAGGGTAACACGGGTACGAAAAAGAGAAAGGATCGGATGCAGGATCTGATCGATATCGGGTTCGGTTACGATGAGACGGACCCGTTTATAGACAACTCTGAAGCCGTAAGTACCCGTCATAACCGGGCCGAGGCATAAGCAAGTTAAACAGCTGCTTAGGATCCAACAGACCAACAGGGGGCACCAAAGAGCACTTTAATAATTACGTCAGATTTCTAAATGCGTGGTTAACACACCAAACAGTGAATGAAGTTTGATCAACTTCGTGCACTTCTTTTCTGGTATTAGCTTTAGAAGCTAATGCTGTATTTATTTAATAGCAACAGAAAAAATAAACATATTTTTAAGTTTGCACATAAACCATCTTATTATTAAGCGAGTCGTTGGATTTAACCCACGTGGAAAAGTTGTTCAGCCTCATTACATGTCATCTGTTCACGTTGTAGCTTTATAAGGTACTGTAGTTCATCATAGAGGCTATATAATCTTTTAAAAGTCGTCGGAAACGCTGCCTGTTGGCAATACATTTTAGATTATTTACATTTCTTTTTTATGGTGCCATGTTTGTAAGCACAGTGGATTTCTGGTTGAGTAGCAATGTTTTGTTGGAAGGTTCACAAACCTGAAGTTTCTGGTACTGGAGGTATTATGCTTAGCATGTCCCTCATTACATCATCCTGTGGCAGTCCCATTGCTCCACTCCCTGGACATTTCTCACTATGTGTACTTGTGCGTTCTCGTGTCCTCGTGAAACGTCATCAGCCTCAGCCGTAGTACTGCTCCAATTCACAAGAGCAAGAAGACCGAGAACAGAAAAAGTCCCCGGATGTTGTTGTCACCCCTCCCTCTTTACCCAGCATGCATCAGAGCAGACTTGTCCGTTCCTCAGACTGACAGCTGTCCCAGCATGCACTGCAGCAGCAGCAGCTTCCAGGTTAGCGCTCACAGAGCTCAGAGTGTTAAGTTAAAAGTTCTCTTTTCTGTTACTGTTCTATAGAAGTACGTTTTAAGATCATTTGAGGCGAGAATATTATACTTTAAGCGTCACTATATGGAACATTTACTGATTTAATGCATAATTGAAAAACATTTCTGATGTTAAGAGGACCGTGATAAGCAGCGGCGCTCTGAGGCTAACATTAGCCAGGGCTAACGTAGCACAAAATGACACCCTGTGTATAAAATATGACAATAAAGAACTACCTCTGCTCAACTGTACTTCTAATTTTCACTAAGACTCTTGTATTCCATCCATCCATCAATCCATCAATCCATCCATCCATCCATCCATCCATCCATCCATCCATCCATCC